TTCCTTTAGGGTGCATCATTGTCCTGGACATGTACATATTTTAGATTGTATCATTGTACTTGACATGTACTTATTTTAGATTGTATCATTGTACTTGACATGTACTTCTCTTAGGATGTATCATTGTACTTGACATGTACTTCCTTTAGGGTGCATCATTGTACTTGACATGTACTTATTTTAGGGTGTATCATTGTACTTGACATGTACTTATTTTAGGGTGTATCATTGTACTGGACATGTACTTATTTTAGGGTGTATCATTGTACTGGACATGTACTTATTTTAGGGTGTATCATTGTACTTGACATGTACTTCCTTTAGGGTGCATCATTGTCCTGGACATGTACTTCTCTTAGGATGTATCATTGTACTGGACATGTACATCCTTTAGGGTGCATCATTGTACTGGACATGTACATATTTTAGATTGTATCATTGTACTTGACATATACTTATTTTAGATTGTATCATTGTACTTGACATGTACTTCTCTTAGGATGTATCATTGTACTGGACATGTACTTCCTTTAGGGTGTATCATTGTACTTGACATGTACTTCCTTTAGGGTGCATCATTGTACTGGACATGTACTTATTTTAGGGTGTATCATTGTACTTGACATGTACTTCCTTTAGGGTGCATCATTGTCCTGGACATGTACATATTTTAGATTGTATCATTGTACTTGACATGTACTTATTTTAGATTGTATCATTGTACTTGACATGTACTTCTCTTAGGATGTATCATTGTACTGGACATGTACTTCCTTTAGGGTGCATCATTGTACTTGACATGTACTTATTTTAGGGTGTATCATTGTACTTGACATGTACTTCCTTTAGGGTGCATCATTGTCCTGGACATGTACATATTTTAGATTGTATCATTGTACTTGACATGTACTTATTTTAGATTGTATCATTGTACTTGACATGTACTTCTCTTAGGATGTATCATTGTACTGGACATGTACTTATTTTAGGGTGTATCATTGTACTTGACATGTACTTCCTTTAGGGTGCATCATTGTCCTGGACATGTACATATTTTAGATTGTATCATTGTATTGAACATGTACATATTTTAGATTGTATCATTGTACTTGACATGTACTTCCTTTAGGGTGTATCATTGTATTGGACATGTACTTCCTTTAGGGTGTATCATTGTACTTGACATGTACTTATTTTAGGGTGTATCATTGTACTTGACATGTACTTATTTTAGATTGTATCATTGTACTTGACATGTACTTATTTTAGGTTGTATCATTGTACTGGACATGTACTTCCTTAAGGGTGTATCATTGTACTGGGCATGTACTTATTTTAGGTTGTATCATTGTACTGGACATGTACTTATTTTAGGGTGTATCATTGTACTTGACATGAACTTATTTTAGGGAGTATCATTGTACTGGACATGTACTTATTTTAGGCTGTATCATTGTATTGGACATGTACATATTTTAGATTGTATCATTGTACTTGACATGTACTTCTTTTAGGGTGTATCATTGTACTTGACATGTACTTCCTTTAGGGTGTATCATTGTATTGGACATGTACTTCCTTTAGGGTGTATCATTGTACTGGACATGTACTTATTTTAGGGTGTATCATTGTACTGGACATGTACTTAGTTTAGGTTGTATCATTGTACTGGACATGTACTTCCTTTAGGGTGTATCATTGTACTGGGCATGTACTTATTTTAAGGTGTATCATTGTACTTGACATGTACTTATTTTAGGTTGTATCATTGTTCTTGACATGTACTTCCTTTAGGGTGTATCATTGTACTGGATATGTACTTATTTTAGGGTGTATCATTGTACTGGACATGTACTTATTTTAGGTTGTATCATTGTACTTGACATGTACTTCCTTTAGGGTGTATCATTGTACTTGACATGTACTTATTTTAGGGTGTATCATTGTACTTGACATGAACTTATTTTAGGGAGTATCATTGTACTGGACATGTACTTATTTTAGATTGTATCATTGTACTGGACATGTACTTATTTTAGGGTGTATGATTGTACTTGACATGTACTTCCTTTAGGGTGTATCATTGTCCTGGACATGTACTTATTTTAGGTTGTATCATTGTATTGGACATGTACATATTTTAGATTGTATTATTGTACTTGACATGTACTTCTTTTAGGGTGTATCATTGTACTTGACATGTACTTCCTTTAGGGTGTATCATTGTATTGGACATATACTTCCTTTAGGGTGTAACATTGTACTGGACATGTACTTATTTTAGGGTGTATCATTGTACTGGACATGTACTTATTTTAGGGAGTATCATTGTACTGGACATGTACTTATTTTAGGTTGTATCATTGTATTGGACATGTACTTCCTTTAGGGTGTATCATTGTACTGGACATGTACTTATTTTAAGGTGTATCATTGTACTTGACATGTACTTATTTTAGGTTGTATCATTGTACTGGACATGTACTTCCTTTAGGGTGTATCATTGTACGGGACATGTACTTATTTTAGGGTGTATCATTGTACTTGACATGTACTTATTTTAGGGAGTATCATTGTACTGGACATGTATTGTACCATTGTATTTGACATGTACTTCCTTTAGGTTGTATCATTGTACTGGACAGGTTCTAGTGGTTAGAGCGTCCGCCCGGAGAGCGGAAGGTCGCGGGTTCGATCCCCGACCGCGTCATACCAAAAGACGTTAAAATATGGTACTTGTTGGTCCCTGCCTGGCGCTCGGCATTAATTGGTACAACAAGGACTGATCGGCTCAGAGTCAGTATAATGTGTCTGAGTGGGGTATTCATGCTTCACTGCGGCATGGTATCTCAGTGGGCTAGCACAATAAAACCAGCTTAAGTCTGGGCTAGTACAAGCAGCCGCACATACACATACACACGCATGCACGTCGTCATATGAGCGAAATATTCTCAAGCACGACGTTAAACCCAATTTCACCTCACCTGAAATGTTTGTCTTCGGTCGCCGGATTCCCTCCAAAGTGATCGCGATCTGAAAATTATCGGCAAATTCTAGACGGTACAATCGTTGATATTCTGGCCATCGAGTTCCGCATATAATTTGCGGTACATGAAGCGGGCCTGTGTTTAAGACCAATCCTAATCCAGATGGTTATAAGGGAACATGCGCTCCCACAGATGTGTTCAGGGGCAAGGTCGGTTGACAGCGCAGATGTGCCTTCGTAAGGACATAAATTGAGACAATGGAAAGTTTGAAACGATTAACCCACGCAGGTTAGGATTGGTTACACCTTCCAGTCCCAACTGAAAATCTGCATTTCTAAAATTCTCAACAAGAGAGAAAACTCTACCAGACTAGCCATGGAATTCACACAGGGTTAGCTCCATGTCGCCTGTCAACGCCAAAACTAATGTGAATTTCCGCCACGCGAGAGGAACCTGCTATTCCATCTCACTATGTTTATCAACATAAGTTACATTGACAAGATTTCAGGGTCACGAGAGGTAGTCACGTGGCTTACGTGACCCCACATGTCAGGTGACCTTATTACGTGCTACATACAAGAAAAGCCATGTGGGCAACTCTATGGCGTGTTTCCGATTTGTGTGTAACGTGTGAATGCTTCCAAAATGCACGTTTTAAACGAGAATGTCTCAGCAACGTGATGTCAAACTTACAATAGTCGAATTGATTTTCTTCCTATGTATGACTTTGACTGAACAAGGAGTTAAAGAAATCTGTGGAAGCTTCGTTGGCTGAGTGGGTTAAATCGCTGACTTTGAAGAATTCCACTTCATGATGCGAAGTTAAAGTGCAACTCACTAACCCACCTGCTGAGAGATGTTGACAGATTTCATTGTTACAGTCTCACCCCGATTAGAATTCTATATTGGCGGGGTACAGTGGTCACACGTGTGGGTCGGGATGACACACGCAGTTGTTTGTATATGTAACTGTTCTTTGTTCAAGGGTGTCCTACTGGTCGCGTGTATAGTCTACGACCATCTACGGAGTCACCGGACCCATGATGCAAGGAAGAGGTAGACGTCCTGGTTCAGCCTAAGCCTTTCTAAAGTTTTCCAATTGTTGTCAGGCGCGTAGCAAGCCAATTTTTTCGTGTAAGCCCGAAAGATTGCAAATCTTTATATTGAGATAGTACTGAGGGCTTGCCCAACCCTTTTAGCAACAATCATGTGTAAGCCCGGGCTTTTTTGTATATAATGGCAGCTACGCCCCTGGTTGTATATCGCCCTTGTTAAAAATACCACTGAGTTATTTGAATACATTACGGCCGAATTTGCCTGTTTTTGTCCAATCTAAGTCAAATATTTTTCTCAAAGTCTACACTCTTAAGGGAGAGTAAATGATAACCTCCTTAGCAGTTACCCTTCAATTATGCCACCTAAGGAAGGAAACAGTTCAGTTAGTTTTACAGATTAGCACAATGAGGATTTAGGCAAGGAACGGTCTCATTGTAAGTTACCCTCTCGTCTAATGTACTTTTTTGCACGGTTTTTAATGTATTGCATTGAAGTTATTGTAAAGAGAAAAGATCTAACACTTGATCAGTGAGTGTTAGTGTGTTAGAGCGGTGGAGCGTTAGAGTGTTATTACATATGGTAACAATCGTAATGCATTTGTGTGTATTTAATGGCATGTAAGTGGATATGACATCTCAAAGTGCTCTGACACTGGATTTCACGCACCTTGCATACAATCTCCCTGAAGAGTAAAGAACGAAACATGTTGGAGAAAACGGCTTCTGTTTTTATTTATCTATGCAATATTTATGACTGAACACCTGTACTACTTTGGACATTTTGTGCGTGTATATATATAATGAGTGAGAGGCATACCTTCCGAAAACTACTTATTATAGGTATTTTGAATAGTCCTCAAAATCCAACACCCCTCCATACACAAATATTGAAATAGACTATAGTCAGATAGGGGAGCCCCCATTCCGGATAACGCTAAGCATTATGGGACGACTAAGACAGATGTTCTAACATGGCGACCTAGAGAGGTGCAGGGAATTCCCTCGATATAAGTTTGGAGTTTGGACATTTGACAACCCGTAGTCTACAAGCAGACATGAGAATTGCCTGTAGGATTTAATTAGCTGATTTTTCAATCATGGTGGATTTTTACCATTATGTGAGGTTTGTGATCGCAGCAGTTACTGAATGATTCGAGACCCACTTTTGAAAACGTCTTTTCTCAAACAATGCCGTGAGAACTCGGAGTGACTCATGGGCATCCCTCTTTATTTGTGAGACATGACAGACATTTCAACAACTTTTTTTGTGTTTATCGGCCTCTAGATGATGATACGCTCATACGTTTATGTTTTGTTTGTGCTTTGATCTGGAGGTTTTCGTGTGCTAAAGTTTGGACAATGCCATCACGGACTGTGTGTTTTGTGTGCGGCAGTGTGGGCGCCGAACTCTCTATTCATATCAAGTCGAGAGACAAAGGACCCTACTTCCCTTTTCTGGAGCACCATGATCCGCCCAAAGGTTCCCGTCTGCCAGGCCCAGATGGTCTCGTAGACAGCTGTAGAGTGTGCTATGCTTTTCTAACACAGCAGTGGGAAGCGTATGAGAGAAGCAAAACTCCCGCCATCAAAAGACTGTATTGGTTGAAGAGGGCTGACAATGGTCATTTTACAGGCGCTGAAATGAAGCTGCAAGGGGAATATATGGCTCAAGTAATGGGTTTACAATATCAGACGACCAGTGACTCTTATAATCCTTCTTCATCACCAGAGAGACCCTCTTACTCTCGAGATGGATATTTAATTTCCAGCAACCATCACTCCAGGGACCCACCTCGAAGTCACCACCCTGTTCACCAAGCACCCGATGGAGCTCTTGACCTGTCAGTTGGACCTACCAAAGTTGTGACTGACATGGCGCGAGCTGGCCACAGCCAACGTCATGTTGTTAGAGATTCTTTCACCTGTTTTACTTGTGGGAAAGAAAAGCAGATATCAAATTGTAAGCTTGCATCAGCAATAAGACAGGCTGGAAGTGAGCCCTATTTTCCGTTTCTCGAAAAGATTGTCCCACCAAGGGGCGCATCATCGATAAGTAGCCAGGGACTGGTGCAGTTATGTGAACATTGTTTTACATCATTGTTTCAACAATGGCTATCTTATGAGAGGGCTGGGGTGCCCCCTAGTGCAAGAATGTATAGTGTGGGTGATGATCACATGACTGCTAAGTCCCATAGTGTACGTGAAATGCGTGAATCATATGAGAAGGAAAAAACATCTGATGCGGAGACATGTTACCTGTGTGGCCAGTCATATCCCATAAAGTCCATTAGACCCCTCTACACTATTCCATCCCAAGAAAATAAACTTGTTATGTATTTTCCCTTTATAAGGGAACTGAGACGGCCACATGGATCACGTCCCTTGAACCCTGATGGAACCGTCCTAGTTTGCCAAAATTGTCATCATAATCTCCAAAGCCAGTGGTGTCATTATGAAGCCAAAAAGATTCCTTTAATTCAGAGAAGATACTCATTATTGCCAGTCAGTGGGTCGTACACAGTACCACTTCCTGATAAACCACATCATAGTAAGGAGTCTGAGAAACCTCATCCCAAGCCTCCCTCTGACGGGTCTGATGTTACACAACCATTGAACATCCAGATCAGCAAAAGTCCCCTTCCTTCATCCCTACCTGGCAGTGCCCAGGGACTCTTGGCCATAGCTCAGCCAATGGTGAAGACAGAAGCAGTCGAGGGGCAGGGTTCATCTGTGACATCTACCATCCCCAACAGTGTCAACAATGCATTAGCTGCCAAAGTTCTCGAGCATCATCGTCAGCTCACTGAAACTAAGCCATCATCATCATCAGGAGCATCGATTCCCCATCCACTACAACAAGCAACTTCCATACCAAAGAAGGTATGTTTCATCTGTGGAGAAAAATGTCTCATTACCAAAGCACGCACTTTATGCTCATATCCAATGCGGCACGAAGCCAAGACGCCCAACAGTCAGTCAGCACCCTTCTTCCCATTCTTAGCCAGTCGAGATCCAGCACCAGGAGCTGAACTCAACACCGAAGATGGAACTGTCATAGCCTGCTCATACTGCTTCTGCTCACTCAATACTCAGTGGAAAGAATTTGAAGAATCAAAAGATCCAGAAGACCACAAGCGCGCTGGGTGAGGAAATATTCAGTTCAGGACTTTGTATGCTTTGTTTGTGGAACCACAGTTGTGAGGAAAGCAATTAGAACACTAGAAGTTCTCAAGTTCCCTTTCCTGAAGGAACATAAAGCTCCGTCTCGCGCCCTTGTGTTCAGTAGTGGGGAGGAGATTGGTGCATGTAGTTCTTGTGCCTTCAGTCTTCGCCATCAGTTTGCAGAGAATGAAAGGATGGGCGTCCCTGACGACCACAGAAAGTACAACTGGATTCAGCAGCCTCATCAGCCACAGGTCGTCGAGGAGAATAGCAGTGATTCGCGGGAACAGGTAGGAGCTGTCAGTCCTTGATCCTGTCTCAGTTTATAGAAGTGATAGATCTTGAAGACATGGTTGAAAATATTTCAGTATAAATTGCACTCAAAATGGTTCCCAAATTGGAGCTAATATTCATGGTGCTTGAAAAAATTATCAGAGTATGCACAAATGTGATGTCATGGATATATGACAAAAGTTATTTAGAAAGTGACTAGTTGTAGTGTCTTTGGGAACCTTAAGTTTAATAAACAAGAAAAAGTGACTGGCAAAAACCGACAGGTTCACACCCTAACCTTGAGAGCAGTGGTCTCCAGACCCCCAGCTCTTAGACCAGCAACCTCTGTATCTCCAACCCCTGAACCATCAACCTCCAGAACAGCAACCTCTGTATCCCCAACCCCTGAACCATCAACCTCCAAACCAGCAACATCCCATTCCCCCAGCCCTTAGACCAGCAACCTCTGTATCCCCAACCCCTAAACCATCAACCTCCAGACCAGCAACCTCCCATTCCCCCAGCCCTTAGACCAGCAACCTCTGTATCCTCAACCCCTGAACCAACATCCAGACCAGCAGACCCCCAGCCCTTAGACCAACAACTTCCAGACCCCCAACCGTCAGGGGAACACCCTTATTCATCACATACATGCATTGTTATATCATGTTTGCCTCATGTCCATAATGGATGTTTTGTTATGTTCATTGCTTACAAACTTTTGCAGTAATTGTTTTTGTGGAACAAGACAAGTTAAATCTTAAATACATACAACAGATCTATTTAGTGCAATCAGTGGCACAAAACATGTTAAAGACATACCACAAATCTATTTGGTAGCATGATAAGAAGTGTAGGCATTCACGATAGATTTCATTTATTCTCACGCATAGAAACCATGGCAACATTAGTAAAACAAATTGAATTATGTCCCACTGCTTGTGCTACCCTCCACGTCTCCACCTAGTGTTCAACCCTTGTACCCCTCCTTGCCCAAACCTCCTCGTGTTCAACCCTTGTACCCTTCCTTGCCTCCACCTCCTCGTGTTCAACCCTTGTCGGGGCGGTGGGGTAGCCTAGTGGTTAAAGCGTTGGCTCGTCACGCCGAAGACCCGGGTTCAATTCCCCACATGGGCACAATGTGTTAAGCCCATTTCTGGTGTTCCCCGCCGTGATATTGCTGGAATATTGCTAAAAGCGGCGTAAAACCAAACTCAGTCAGTCAACCCTTGTCCCTCTCCTTGCCTCCACCTCCTCATGTTCAACCCTTGTCCCTCTCCTTGCCTCCACCTCCTAGTGTTCAACCCTTGTCCCTCTCCTTGCCTCCACCTCCTCGTGTTCAACCCTTGTCCCTCTCCTTGCCTTCACCTCCTAGTGTTCAACCCTTGTACCTCTCCTTGCCTCCACCTCCTAGTGTTCAACCTCCTAGTGTTCAACCCTTGTCCCTCTCCTTGCCCTCCACCTCCTAGTGTTCAACCCTCCACCTCCCTTGTCCCTCTCCTTGCTGCCTCCACCTCCTAGTGTTCAACCCTTGTCCCTCTCCTTGCCTCCACCTCCTAGTGTTCAACCCCTTGTCCCTCTCCTTGCCTCCACCTCCTAGTGTTCAACCCTTGTCCCTCTCCTTGCCTCCACCTCCTAGTGTTCAACCCTTGTCCCTCTCCTTGCCTCCACCTCCTAGTGTTCAACCCTTGTCCCTCTCCTTGCCTCCACCTCCTAGTGTTCAACCCTTGTACCTCTCTCCTTGCCTCCACCTCCCTAGTGTTCAACCCTTGTGTCCCTCCTTGCCTGCCTCCACCTCCTAGTGTTCACCCCCTGTCCTCTCTCCTTTGCCTCCACCTCCTAGTGTTCAACCCTTGTCCCTCTCCTTGCCTCCACCTCCTAGTGTTCAACCCTTGTCCCTCTCCTTGCCTCCACCTCCTAGTGTTCAACCCTTGTCCTCTCCTTGCCTCCACCTCCTAGTGTTCAACCCTTGTCCCTCTCCTTGCCTCCACCTCCTCGTGTTCAACCCTTGTCCCTCTCCTTGCCTCCACCTCCTAGTGTTCAACCCTTGTACCCTTTCTTCCCCACCTCCTAGTGTTCAACCCTTGTACCCTTCCTTCCCCACCTCCTAAAGTACTGTCGGAAATGCTAGAAAAATGCTTTTTAGCCTTAATATCTTTATAAAGGTGATAAATGTACTATGTTGCCAATATATCAACTCGTCTATTGTCTACCTAATTTTTGTTTCAACCGATTTATCATTCCCATGCATTTAAAGGACAGTTTACAGGAGAGAATTTGGTACCAAAACAGCAACTTAAGATTTTTTCAGAGTTCAACAACAGAAATCTGAAATAGTCTTTACATTTATGCTAATAATACAGGTGGTGTAAAAATATGAATTAAAGTTTTTCCTAAACAAATAAATGTTGAATGTTTGTGTTACTTTACTTAATTATCGTTTCTTTATTGAAGAAATATTAATATAAATGTTAAGTCTTGATAAATAAGTTTCCGTTCATGCATGCACATCTTTATCACAGCGTCCACTGTGGCCAAGGATTTGCAGTCGATTGTTGCAAAGGTTTATAGGTTTTTTCTGCTGAAAAAAAGACAGAGGTAAACCTGTCATTAGTTTAGAAAGGGTTTATTACAGAACTTGTAGAGCTGTTGGCATGTCTTACCAACAAGTTTACAATATTGTAAACAAATCAGACAAGAGAGGGACCGTCTCAAATGCAAAACCGGGACGTAAAACCATCCTTGACAACTTTGACAAGGGAGTGCTTAGACGGGCGGTCTACAAACTTTATGAGAAGAAAAAATATATATATTCTAAAGAAGCTACACCAGTGACTTCGTTAAATCTTTGGCCAATGTTCACAACTAGATTAAACTGACCATTTTTCAATGAAATATACTGTTGACATGCAAAACATGTATTAAAACGTTGCACATTTCTACAATCAATCGATAAGATAACACAAGTGATAGGATTCTTTCCAATGTACAGTAATTCGTATGTTTATTTCAAAACAAATACACATACACAAATGAACCCTTACATAACCGATACGTATACTACGCGTACACATATTCAACATTTTGCAGAAAACATCTATTGAGATGACCCCTTGCCCGAGCGTGTGCTCAGGTGTCAATTTCACCTGTCGATACCGTGCTTGCTGATGACGTAACACAGGCAGTTAATATTTGTATCAAATAACGTCCCACTACCTCTTATTTTTCTAAGTTTTGGGTATTTTCATCAGTAAAATCACATTTTAGAGCATGTCTCAAAATTTATTCCCTCGGTCTACATTAGGTAGATGTTTCTTGAAGTGATATTTGTTATTTAAGTAACTGTAATACCTCTGAAGTTTTAATAAAAGTCAAAAAGCATTTTTCTAGCATTTCCGACAGTACTTTAGTGTTCAACCCTTGTACCCTTCCTTCCCCACCTCCTAGTGTTCAACCCTTGTACCCTTCCTTCCCCACCTCCTTGCTTCCACCTCCTAGTGTTCAACCCTTGTACCCTTCCTTCCCCATCTCCTAGTGTTCAACCCTTGTACCCTTCCTTCCCCACCTCCTAGTGTTCAACCCTTGTACCCTTCCTTCCCCACCTCCTTGCTTCCACCTCCTAGTTTTCAACCTTTGTACCCTTCCTTCCCCACCTCCTAGTGTTCAACCCTTGTACCCTTCCTTCCCCACCTCCTAGTGTTCAACCCTTGTACCCTTCCTTCCCCACCTCCTTGCTTCCACCTCCTAGTGTTCAACCCTTGTACCCTTTCCTTCCTTCCCCACCTCCTAGTGTTCAACCCTTTGTACCCTTCTCCTTCCTTCCCCACCTCTTGCTTCTCCCCACCCTCATAGTGTTCAACCCTTTGTACCCTCTTCCTTCCCCACCTCCTAGTGTTCAACCCTTGTACCCTTCCTTCCCCACCTCCTTGCCTCCACCTCCTAGTGTTCAACCCTTGTACCCCTTCCTTCCCCACCTCCTTGCCTCCACCTCCTAGTTTTCAACCTTTGTACCCTTCCCCTTCCCCACCTCCTTGCCTCCACCTCCTAGTTTTCAACCTTTGTACCCTTCCTTCCCCACCTCCTAGTGTTCAACCCTTGTACCCTTCCTTCCCCACCTCCTTGCCTCCACCTCCTAGTTTTCAACCTTTGTACCTCTTCCTTCCCCACCTCCTAGTGTTCAACCCTTGTACCCTTCCTTCCCCACCTCCTTGCTTCCACCTCCTAGTGTTCAACCCTTGTACCCTTCCTTCCCCACCTCCTAGTGTTCAACCCTTGTACCCTTCCTTCCCCACCTCCTTGCCTCCACCTCCCAGTGTTCAACCCCTTGTACCCTTTCCCTTCCCCACCTCCTAGTGTTCAACCCTTGTACCCTTCCCTTCCTCCTTCCTCCACCTCCTAGTGTTCAACCCCTTGTACCCTTCCTTCCCCCACCTCCTTGTACCCCATCTCCCAGTGTTCAACCCCCCCCTCCCTTCCCCACCTCCTAGTGTTCAACCCTTTGTACCCTTCCCTTCCCCCTTCCCCACCTCCTAGTGTTCAACCCTTGTACCCTCTTCCTTCCCCCACCCCTTCCCCACCTCCTAGTGTTCAACCTTTGTACCCCTTCCCCACCCTAGTGTTCCCCACCTCCTTCCTTCCCACCTCCTGTAAGTGTTCAACCCTTGTACCTCCTCCCCCCACTCTTGCCTCCACCTCCCCAGTTTTCAACCTTTGTACTCCTTCCTCTTCCCCACCTCCTAGTGTTCAACCCTTGTACCCTTCCCTTCCCCACCTCCTTGCTTCCACCTCCCAGTGTTCAACCCTTTGTACCCCCTTCCCTTCCCCACCTCCTCTTGCCTCCCACCTCCTAGTGTTCAACCCCTTGTACCCTTCCTTCCCCACCTCCTTGCCTCCACCTCCTAGTGTTCAACCCTTGTACCCTTTCCCTTCCCCACCTCCTTGCCTCCACCTCCTAGTGTTCCAACCCTTGTACCCCTTCCCCACCTCCTGCCTTCCACCTCCCAGTGTTCAACCCTTG